TTATGATTCCTTGGCTCCTAGCCTTCACCCGCATCAGCTCACCTTGCCTATGCTTGTATGGGAGTGTATTTTTGTGTTACGAAGTTTCTCTGTTCAACTTTTTTTTCTTTCAGTCATTCCAGAGGCATGACTCCTGAACCCTTTACGTCGGAACAGACGCGGATTTAAGAGTGTCACCGACCTCCGGGCTCTTTGCGCCGAGACTTTTACGACCGGGTGGCAGCAGCACTTTGCGAGAACTACGGGAACGAGTGGCTGGTTACGGGTCAGCGGCTGGAACGTTTACGGTAGGCGGCGGTGCCAGACCAGCTGTCAAGTTTAAACGTTGCTCCACTGCTTCCCGTGCATCATTACACGCTGGACGGGAACTGACGTCCCATTAGTGACAGTGAAGGCATTAGGCGAGTATGGTCGAGCTAGATTTTTTTTTTTTATGTATCACCCACGCAGCCTGTGTGGGAAAACCGAACCTTATTACAGTGCTAGTCATAATAACCGGAGCCCTCTTTGAAAGATAGCGTACGCGCAGTTTTCTGAGATCACATCTCGAACCTTTCACTCCGAACGTGAGGCGACTCTTCATGCGTTGGAGGGAGGATTGGCTGTTTAACAGAAATATTAAGTGAGATTGAAAGCTGCGTGCTTCGTGCTAGAAGTGAAATATGCCGAGACCACATTCATTTTTCTTCGCTGCAAAGAAGACCGATAATTCACGGAGAGCTCCTGACATTTGAAGCATCTGGTGTGGTTTAGCATGCACTGAAGTCACGCAGTGCAAGTGGCCTCTATAGCGTCTCGCCTCCATCAAAATGCGACCTCCACGGCCGGAATGAAGCCCGACTGCAGTTGAAGGGGAACCCTGGGCGTGCTTATGGACTTCACCGATAGACGATTCGAGAAGGGGGGGAGGGGGTAGTGTTGCTGAGGTCATAGTTGGCTTTCCCAGGAACCCTGCTCACGCTTGTCATTAATAAACTGTAGAAGAAAAGGTTTTATTTGGCGCAATCGCTAGCAGGCCCAACCTGACATTGGCAATGATTATTCGCCTTCGCTTCACCAACCACCCAAGAGATAAATGCGCACGCCAGGTTTGACAAGCATTGCGCTGTCACGCTGACCTTGCTCGACCGCCTGAACGTGTGATGAAGTAGTCAACATATAGTCAGTTCTTCGGCTAGTTGGTTCGACATTTTGCATAGGCGAGCGTGGAATGATTGGTAAGAAATATTAAGGACGTGTGCTACAAGCCTCTGCACGCTTACAGACTGTGTTGCATAGCTCTGTTCTTGAAGATCCACTTTGGGTTGTTTAGTGTGCCAAGGAAGCCGCCAGGACTCAAGAATTCCGGGCCGTCACTTGGGTAAGAGTTGTTGCCCTTGCCAAAAAAAAAAAACGCACAGGAACTTTACTTGGAGTTCTTTGTATGTATGCACATGCCACAAAAACAATTCGTGCGACATAACGTGGCCTACGGCTGCGCGGGTGTTCCCGATGCCCACCTGTACCCAATACACTGTATTTGGCGTATTGGGTTTCACTCACGCTCATACACAACTCATACTGCGTACTCGAATTTTGAGATTTGATGCACCTGGGTTCACAACCACTTCTGATTGTCTAACTTCAAGCAACTATAGTTTCTGTGTGCCAAAAGCAATTTTTCAAACCTTATTGCACACATCATGTATCAGTTATGGCAGTCGTAGCCGTTCCACAAAATAATAAAACTTCAGGAGGCGTTATCAAAAATCCCGCATGCGTCATGCTTAAGGGTCACGTTGCCACACACTGTCATGAGTACACTTCGAACCAAAACCCAAAATTTCAAGTTTATAAATATATTGAATGAAATTCACAGTTCCAAGGCCATCCTACGCTTTTTGATTCTCATCATTTTCGTCCGGAGTATTAGACGAACGTTACGGAAGCCGTTCAATATAAATCGGTGTTTGTGCGCAGTCTAGTAAAGTTCACGCGTGGTTATAGGGATGAAAAACATTTTCATAGTATTACACTTAGACAAGCTTACATCAAGCAGCGCCTTGCCCGAATATATGCTTAAAACGCCGCTATATATTGTGTGGCAGCTGCACCTCAAGTGTCAACCTATAGCCATTTTCACATAGAAAAAGATTGCTAGCACGGCTTTGGAAAGCACCGAAACAATGCTCCAACGCTGAGCGTCATCAATTGTTCCACCGCGCGCATGACGTCATGAATGCACTTGTTTGTCATCTGCTAGCCGCATTTTCGTTTTCTAAGCTTATGCATCCTGCATTTTAGGATTTCTTTAAACATCTGTGCTTGAACAGAACAAGACACTTTCTTGACCGGACTTTAAAATGGAAGACTGATACACTTTCATGAACGTACACGCACAAATAGTGGAGCCTGTATACTGGTCGGGAAGTTTTTCGCGGCTTCATATACCGGATGGTTCGCTGGCTCAGCCAACTGGTCTTGCGGCCTTCAAAGCAATGCCCAAAGGTCGTGAGAACTGTTTGCACCGTTCCATCGATGCCGCTTTTTCAAGTGATGGAACGGCTACGTGCGTTCGTACTCGGCGCAAAATGTTGCGCAATGGTTTATTCGATGATCGATAGACTCGATTTCCATTTCCCGAAGCTCTTGCTCTGCATTTTTCATGCGTGCTTCTAGAAGACCTGTAGTACGTACAAGAACGTTGTTGAGTGCTTTAACAGCTGAGTATCTACTCTATTGCTTGATGCACCTCTGTTCGCGCGGTGATTACGGGTTGGAGTGATAGTCACAAGCCTACGTTTGCACCAGCCAGCGCTAAATCCAATGGTGTAAGAAGTTGACATCAGTTCGTGCTATCAATTTGCCTTAGTTTAACTCGCTGAGAGTGCGGGTGAATACACCGAAGGCCTTGACTTGCGCGCTATTAAAGTAATTAAAAGTAGCAACTGCAAGCAGACAGGTAGTAACTGCAGCGCTTACTACCTTCCTTGAACCATTACTAACCTTTTGCTACCTCTTTACTACGTATACGTTAACACATACTAACTGCAACCATTACTGTGTGTCCAATACTTGTTTACTAAAGTTAATACACAATTAGTAACTGGATTGACTTAGGTAGCCAACTGCAGCCATTACTAACTTTCCCACACAGTTACTACTTTTTTTGCTACCCGGCCGTTGACTATCCAATCTAAAATAGTACGGAATACCTATTGCATTGATCTATAAGAGGAATCGTATTGATGGATCATTTCTGAACGGAAATATGACGCAAGAGATATTCATACATTAGGAAAACACCTGGTAAAAATGACGTCACCGAGACATGTAAGCGTCGCTCTGCTATGTCAAAACGGAGAAGTACAAGTGAACGAAGCATAAGCAAGCTCTACTCGCGTTGTAATAGACTGTTACAACAAACTTAGTAAATTACACCAAACATGACAGGTGGATTCAAATTAAACATACGGTCAAAATTCATTCGAAGTCCTTCCCTTAGCCTGTCTCATTAAAATATCGCAGTTTTGCCATGTAAACCTCATTGACAATTATCACCTTTAAACCACCGATATAGCAGCACAGTGATCTATTCAAGTGCACTGAGACAATGTAAGTTCAGTAGCTTGTTTCAGCCGTTGAAGATAATTCATTCTTGTAGCATGTTTATACTAAATAGATATGACATATGATATTCTATAAGTACGGCTTATACAGTTTTTTTGCTGCGTTCCCAAACACACGTAGCTAGGTAGCATGGTATAGTGATCTAGGCTCACATTTTTATAGCTCATTCTGAAGCACAAGTGCTATCCTCTAACAGGCATGTTCAAAGTAAGGCCTATATATACTCCTCGTGTCGTTTACTTACTGTCCACCCATCGCGTTCATGAAGCACCACGCAAAATCACCCGGAGTTGTGTCGTAATTCACGTGATTGACCAGTAATAACAAATAAAAAGTAAGGTGCCAAATGTAACATAGTAATTGGTTACTACTTTTTATAAACATTTATAGGTTACTACCTGTCGTTAGTAACAGCTAGGGTAGTAACAGTTACTAAAAGCTGTTAATAATGGCAAAGGTAATATTCATCACCAGCCTCACCGTTACTAAACTGCACCTAATAGCAGGTTTGTAACGTATGTTCCATCACAGCCCCAAAAATAGCAAGTACCGCTACCCTAATTTTTTAAAGTGTACTTGAGCTTCCGTTTAGATACCGACAATCTGTTTTATTATCGTTACTCGTTCACCTTGTCATTTCTTCTCCCAAACATGGCAGCAGAAAATTCAATAAGAAGCTGCCGGTAATGGTCAAATGACTGCGTCAATTACCTAGCGGCTGTTGAAGCCCAATCCGTCGAGCGCACAGCTCTAACAGTTCTGATCAGCACCTGCGGACTAGTATTCATGCCGGAAGTGGGTCTCCGCTTTCCCGGACCTGACTTCTCAACCAAGCAAACTTCCTCTTTCTCCCCTCTTTCGGACAGGTTCCTCGGTTTTAATTCATCTGGAGTCGCTCACGTGTGCCCACCACTGAACGTGATCGCATACACGCACACGCAAGCATGCTCACGCATTTAAGCAAATTGCGGGGAGCAATCCAACCAGTTGGCTCCAGCCGGAAATGAAAGCCAACAACGATCACAGGCTTTGGGTGGGCGGGAAGTGAAGGAGGACCGATACGAGAAGGGCGCTATGATCGGCGTGATGGCCCGCAGGCATACCGGAGACTGTAACTGCCTCGCTCACGCACAATGGGTGAATATGCGAATCAAACAAATATATGCGATCACATAAGAACGAGACGCGAGAGGAAAAGAAAAGCCAGCGTGTAGCAAAGCAGTGAGCGGGTCGTTTTTAATCGAGACAAGTCGAGGTGTTTCTTGTTCCTGTTTTGTCGTCTTCGCCCGAGAGGGTAGCGCAGTGCGGCGAAGCCAACGGGCGCGAACTGGGCGACCTTGCCCAGGCCGCCGTCGCGGCGGATCGGATCAGCTGTTGAGAGCGCGCGTTCAGCTAAAGGCTCGACGACACGCGCGGGGTGCCGTGCACCGACCACGTGGTTTCCTCGCCGCTAGCGAAACTGGAATGCGCCCTCGCACCTGCTGCTGGCGTCGCTGAAAGCGCGGCCACTGGCCGCCGCTCTCCTTTTTCTTCAGCTACCGCAGCGACTGGCAGCAGCGACGCTTTGCGCCGCGCGGGTCACCTCCCCCTCCAGGAGCCCCAGGCCTCCTCCGGAGCCGCTGCCCTTCCGCTCACGCTTCTTCCGCTGACTACTGTGGACTACCGTTAACCTCCAGGTCCCTTGCAGCTGTACTCTCTTTCAAAATAACGACATTCAAGGACTTTTCACCTGTCAAGATACAACTCTTTTCTGTTCGTGCTCCCAGAGAGGAGAGGTCCAGGATCACTCGCAAGTACATTCCGGATATCCCAGCCGCCGGAGCGCAGGAGAGTCACTTTTACCTACTGGGGTGTGGTTTTCGGGCGCTGAGAGTCTTCACTCAAGAAGTGTTGGCCGTTGAGCAGTCCCCTGTGCGCAATCGAGTGCGCGTTCCGACGGTGAGGAAGTATATCCAAGTCCATCAGAGGAGCTGTCCTTGACAAGCGCACCGAGCTCTACTCGCGTCAGTTGCCATCATCTCTTCGACTACGACAGCCTGAACCCAAGAGGACAACATCAAAAGATTGTTTTACCGTACTGCCAGGCTACTCTACAGTTTCCTGACGGATAACCAGAGAAGCCTCGTTCAGAATTAGAAGACGTTTGTTCTTTCCTTGTATCCTGGCGGCGTTGATACCAGCGGTGTTTTCCGTACGAAGTTCTTTGAGTTCTACTTTAAGCTGTACATCGGTAGAACACTGAGGCACTCAAGAACCGGGAATATTCGGCACGTGGGACCTCCTGAACCGAAGGGCACCGGGACAAAGGATTCCATTCTACTGCAACATCTGCCAAGCCGCTCAGCGCCGGGCCTTCACAAACGCGCGGCTATGCTGTTCGGTCTGTGACTGTGGCGGCGCACGCGTCTTGCCGTCCTTCCATGGCCGACATCAGGATGCTACTCCGTACTGCGCAGGTGACCTTGTCTTACATATCAGCGACTCCAGGTCGCTGGCAGTGTGACAAAGAAGGGCGTAGGCAATGGCTAAAATTTCGCTATCAAACATTCACGTGGGCGGAACGAAAAATTTTTGGGCCCTTGAGATTCGTTCAACGATCGCGACCAGCATGCTCACCGCAGCTTGTAAGTACATGTCTAAAGAAGCTATGTTCATGAGGTCATTGCACATTGATGGCAGGCTGTTTGGAATATTGACTAATTTATTGATTGGTTGGTTGATACGTGGGGTTTAACGTCCCGAAATTAGCATATGATTATGAGAGACGCCGACCACTTGGGGTTCTTTAACGTGCACCCAAATCTGAGAACACGGGCCTACAGCAGTTTTGCCTCCATGGAAAATGCAGCCACTGCAACCGGGATTCGATCCCGCGACCTGCGGGTCAGCAGCCGAGTACCTTAGCCGTGAAACCACCACGGCGGGGCGGCTGTTTAAAAGACTCAATTATTTGATGCTGGTACATAGTTAAAAAGGTGGCAACAGTTGTACAGATATGAAAAGTGTGTTTGCGTTAGGAACATTGTTTGCATCTTGGACAAGAGATTTTCGTATTCGCTTAGCTAAATAAAATGCTAGTGCAACTGTATGCTACAGCGTTTTCGAATGCTGCATAACCCTTTGAAGAACGCTCGTTTGACTAAGTAACAGGAAAATGACTACGTATTAAGAATACCGTGCTATATAAGATGTAGCCACTCTATAGCATTCAAGAAAATTTCCGAAGAGACGCAGGTATAAAATTATTGCTTTGCAGTCAATAGTTGCTACAAAACAGATTCAAAGGCATTCACTAGCAGGCGATGGCCATGTAACGTGGCTATGATTGTAAGATGGCGATTACTTTTATCGACATTGGAACAATATGGACGTAAAAAAAAACTTGTGCCATATATATTATTCATTCGCAAGAGCAACGCGAATAATCGAGCCCCACACCACTTCTGCCGATGTGCTTCAACTAACGTTTTCTATAGGAGCGATAGAAAAGATTCTGTCTTGGGGGCGCAGGTCATTTGGATTGACTCAGAGAAGCACAGCGTTAACCTCGAATTTCTTACAATTGCACGTAGGAATTTCGCAGCTTGTCGGCGCATTACCGGCGAAATCGGGCTCGTTTGCCTCAGACAACGCAAACAGCTCGACTGGTTGGTAGAGTGTATTGTATAACAGTAAATCATTCAAAATACGGACACCAACGACTACCAGTTATATTGTGTACCGGTTGAAGTATTCATTTAGGGACTTCGCATGATACTAGGGTGGCTCCGGTGGCATCTGTGACACAATCCTATCTTTTTGGCTTATATTAACGGTGTCCTTCAATACTTCACCCTTGTGTCTTTGGCGGTTAAATACGCACCATAATTGCTTTCATCAGAATGTATGGAAGTTGCCTGCACTAAAATCTATCTCTATGCCACACATTACTGAAGCGTGAAAACGCAGCTGAAATCGAGGCCTACTGCAAACAGGTTGCAGATAGAGATTTAATAGACAAGGAGGAAGGAAAACAAGCGATCTAGTTTAATTGATATGTGGGGTTTAACGTCTCAAAACCACTATATGATTATGAGAGACGCCGTAGTGGAGGGCTCCGGAAATTTCGACCACCTGGGGTTCTTCAACGTGCACCCAAATCTGAGCACATGGGCCTACAACGTTTCCGCCTCCATCGCAAATGCAGCCGCCACAGCGAGGATTTGAACCCGTGACCTGCGGGTCAGCAGCCGAGTACCTTAGCCACTAGACCACTGCGACGGGGCAGAAGCGATCTAGTTAAAGGAAGACATATTAAATGATTATTTGCAACACGCAAGAAAAAGCATCGTCGGAAGCTCCGGTTAGTGAAACACTTCTGAAAAACTGGTATGGAGATAAATGTTTATTCAGAGAGACAGCTCCAGCTTCGAGTCACGGTGCATTGCGAAATGAATATTAAGAAGCGATAAGGTGGCATTAGCGACATTTGCATTTCTCCGATGTCGTGCTGTTCGGATGTAAAGAGGCCGCCAATGGAAGGGCGTAATGGCGAGTGTTCCTCTCTGATGAAACACACGATACGACTGCGTACGTTATGTGAAGTGTGTCGTCTCGGTGAAGAGCGGCCTGTTGTAGATGTAGCAGGTATAGCGTACGTACAATGCTGCGAAGCGTGCAACACGCACCCTGAAGATTTTTCTCTCAAGCAAGCTGCGTTGATTGTAGGTGTCATGATTTTCATTTCTTTCCATGACTGACACTAGAAAATTTTGAACTCACTGTAGGCTGAATATTCGGGCACGAACTATGTTACTTCAAGATATTTCTGTTTGAAGGGATGAAGAGTCGAGGATTGAGGAACGTCGCAGAAGTAATCGTCTCGACAAGGAGTCTTCGTCTTCGTTAGGACAGCAAGTTGTTCACATAGGTGGCCAGAGAAATGGCTCGCGCTGTTGTTGCCACACCGGAAAGGCTTAAAACGTGCAATGCCACACGAACAAAGGTGGAAATTTCCCCAGTGAGGAGCACGAATTGCTATTGTTTACTACCAGTCTCACTGCTTATGTAAGTAGAACCACATAGAACGAATATGTAAGTAGGGACATGTGCACGCGGGTAAAAAGCGTATTTTTCGTGAGAACGTACAATCCGAGAAAACAAACAATCCGAATTCTCTAAAGCCTCACGTATAGTTTTGAGAACGTTGGCGCCGAATTGTCTAACGAAACGGGAACGTATCAACGAAGTTCCGCTTCCACGTGTGTTAACAGAAACCAGTTCTTTGCTGCTTTTTTTTAAAATCTGGACCCATTTGCTGTCGCAGATGTATTCGCCTACGTGATAGTTTGCGATAGAATGGAGAGAAAGGCACTGTGATCGAGCGGGTGGAAGGAAACGAGAAACAAGAAGAACAAGAAAAACGTGCTCACGCAAATCTCGCGTATGGTCATACGCGTTCGTGCGCGCACGACCAAACGCAGACGAGTGTGCATGAATCGCCGCCATCGCGGGCATTGTGGTTGTTCCGGCGATTTAGTGGTCCAGACCGCGGAGGATCACGGAGGTCTCGGGAGGGCGGAGGATGTGGTCAGTGGGGCACTGGCGTGGGAAGTTCTGGCGTTCGACTCCAGCTGCGCGTGCGGCCTAGTGGACCTCGTTTGCCGAGTTAATCGCGTCCGCGCACGGAAAACAAATCTGCCTTGTCCCGACGGGAGGGATAGAGAACTCTTGCGGGTGCGGTGCGCGATTAACGGGGTGGTCGAGGCTGCCTTCATTTATTTAGTGTCAACCGCAGACATACGGCGTAAATAGGGTTGGAGCTAATCGAGCTGCTCATCAGCTTTGTCTCCCTGCCTCTTTCATCCTACGCTTGATGAAAAATAAAAGACCTATTATTATTAATAAATGATTAGCTATCAGCTGCTGTGGTAAAAGTTAATGGCGGTTTTACGAATGGACCATGCGTGAGTGCCGCATATTGGCATATTGGATGAATTTCGAACACGTGACGGATATCGTACAAAACTCTGCCTTATTAGCACAGTTATTTGCTGCTGCTTCACACACGTTGTACTTGGTATCACATACTCGACCGACGCTGCTGTTGTATAACTTGTAAGAGAAGAAAACTATAAAGCTTACGATGCTTACAAGAAATTGCTTCGTAATCAGCCGCTACAAATAGTCCATACTAGGATCCATGCACTATAGAATTATGGCGCATCGTCTTTGAGCACACCCGCTTCTTTCTTGCTTTGTTTTGCCTTTTTTAAAATATTTGCACTACCAGTCGCCTCTGTTTGTGGTACACACAAGTTCCGTGAACGAATAGCTACCAAGTAAAAAGCTGCACACATACAGTCGACATTAACGGTGATATCGACGGACATTGTATGTTGTTCAGCAATTTATACTACCATTTCAGACATGCTTTCTTCTCTGATGTTGTAGAGCTTGAAAGTGGAGCGGCACATAGCAACGTAAGAACAGATGTCAATGATGAAGTGGGCTTGGGCGTCAGCGGAGTAACATGAAGCTGCAGTAAGAAGGCCATATCAAAAAGTATTTTTGCAGTCGGGTACTGGGGAAGTCCAGAGGCGAAGCACTGCTTCTGCGAAAAAAGTGATTATCGTTAGTGAGCCCTGTAGTGCATAACAAACATTTCCTTGTAACAAGCCTTCACCTTTGAAGGGTTTTTCCGATAGCCACTCTCCGGAGATCCAATCAACGAGAGATTTGCTAACCTTGAGCTGATTTTCTTCGCACACCTCAGTGGTACTTTTGGCAGCGAGCAGCTGGTCAAAATACTCGGTCATCATAGCATATATAGTTTCAGTTGTCAAAAATACATATGTGGGAAAGGATAATAAAGCCACCGAGCAGGTTTCCTTTGTAACAATGTTAGCCTGTTGGCACCGGATGCTATGATAACGATGTCCCTTGAGGAGAACCTAAAATTTCCCGCCTACCTGGTTTGCTGCAGGCACAACCAGTTCTTCCGCGCGTTGCCGGCGGCCGGTCCAACAGCCAGAACGATTCAACATTGGAGAATTTACCAGCTTTTCATTACTGGACTAATTCTAGGCGCCATTTCAAAAATTGATTTGAGAGTTCAAACAAAGATGACAGAATAACAACTGTTAATTAGGTATGAGATGTCAAAGTTTATGCAGTTAGCACAATCATCGGCACTTAATCTTACAGGAGTGTCATTATAGTTTATGATACTGAATGGAGCGAGTGTAAGTGAAAAAGTAGAGAAGAGTAATAACACTAACTTCCAGCATACGCCATTCCCGTAAGCAGCGTCGAATACAATGCTAAACGTCAGCAAATGGTATTAAATTGCATGACAAATTTAACAAAAAAAACGTCATTCCGTTCATCATTCAGGAGAACTACTAAGTACTCTCACAATCTGAACATAGTCCCGAAATCACATAGGCTTCCGCAATTTCTCGGACTTGGTTTGAAA